TGTGTTGAGCTGCTCAGGTGGACTGGGGTTAGCCGTGAATGCTGCTCTGTTAGAGCAGCAGGGGGCCACAAATGATGTGGCCACTGCCCATGAGTCCGTAGTCCCGAGCAGACTCTGAGGAGACTCCACCCGTCGGAAGCATTGCATTTGCTTGAGGTGGAGTTGTGGTGTAGTCGTCTTTGGCATGCACAGCAGGTGTAGGTTTCTGGCCCTGGGTTAGACTCGATGCCAGCCCTGAGCAGAAGAATACAAAGCAAATGTAGCCCTATGGACGAACAACTACCGAGATATTTCGCCGACGTTAACGGGTTTAGATCGCCGAAACAACAGCCCTTGGTCGGGCAAAACCCGAGTCATCCCGGTAAGTAGAACCGGCTGTCGTGGAAATGATAGAGTGCGGAGGGCTGGGTCTCTCTGGCTTCATCATTGGGAGTACTCTATAAAACGACCTATCGCTGGGTCGTTAGCGGAGCTATGGAAGCAAAACCAAGAAGTGGTAAGCGACCGAAAAAGCTGACTGAAGAAAACGTGATGACTATGTTATCCTGGCTTGAAGGTGACTGCAGTTTGACCATCGAACAATTAAGAAAAGTATAAAACAAGTTTAATGTAGAATTGAGCACTACAACAGTGGCAAACTATCTGGAGGGCAATCTGTACAGTTGCAAAGAAGGCCATACGCAACCAATAAACATGAATTTTAATTTTTTAAAGTAAAAGGTCATTGTGAGTTTACTTATAATCAAAAAAGGAAACATAAGTGAGAAAAAATTAATAAATTTACTTAAAATTATTTCTCTCTCTCCAACAACTTTGGCATAGGGATACAACTATGGAAGTATCGATACCTGTACTTGGAAGTAGCATCGAAATAAAGTATCGATGCCAACTAAGTATCGGGCTGAAAGTATCGATACCTACTTATATCGATATTTGTATATACTATATAAGAATTGTTTATGAAAAAACGCTATTACATATCTATGCATTTTTGTCAAAATAACTTATTTGACGATCATTTTTGATTTTAGAAGAATGGTATTTAATCTTTTTAAGAAAAACTTGCAAATGTGCAAAGTCCGATAAGTTGTTTTGTAATAACCCCATAGAATTTTGTTAACAGAATTTGCTTCTTTTTTATGTACGTATTCTATTTGTTATACATAATTATTTATTTTGTACAAAAAAAAACGAATGAGATAAAAACAGTTATGTTATAATTAATTTCATCCAAAATAACTAACTAATAAAAGTTATCTGTATTATAACACTGGTCAACAGTATTTTTGCAGAGTAACAATGGTATATTTCTGAAGAAGNTTTTTTATGTACGTATTCTATTTGTTATACATAATTATTTATTTTGTACATAAAAAAAACGAATGAGATAAAAACAGTTATGTTATAATTAATTTCATCCAAAATAACTAACTAATAAAAGTTATCTGTATTATAACACTGGCCAACAGTATTTTTGCAGAGTAACAATGGTATATTTCTGAAAGAAGTAATAATCTTGATAATTTTTGGAGGACAAAGTTATAGTGTAGTGCAAGCATTCATATGGCTAGCTTAGAGTGAAAAGTTGCTAAGTCCATTTGTAGAACTTTTACAAGAGAGAAAAACAACCTCTTAAAATACTTCCTTCAAGAATTTTGCAAAAAGATTCCGTTGCAAATTAAAATATTTAGAATTTTTTGTGAGCTTATCGAATTTTCTGTGCCTCTTATCGAAATCTACATACCTATGGTTAGGTATTTCGACCCACAGAATCCGAGTCAGTTTGGCTAATATAACTCCTAGATTTCGAGAAAACTCCAAAAAAAAACGTAAAAAATAGCGAAAATCGGCAATAAAAAACGGGTTTTTGATGTTTTCTCGAAATCTAGGAGGTATATTGGCCGAACTGACTTCAAATTCGGATTCTGCAGGTCGAAATACATAACCATAGGTAGGTCCGGTCAAATGCACATCACACTAATTTTTTTTTGTGTGCCGGTGTTATAAATTCATCGGAATATTTTTTTGTCTGTTACCGCCTAACTTTGGACCACATTAACCGATTGCGATAATTCATTTCCTGGTGCCTCAGGGGAGGTCCCATACTAATTTGGTTTAGATCCGATCATTGGATCATGAAGAAATTAACGGTACTTCTAATTTTTTACATGAGAATTGAAGTCGGTTATGTTTTTTGCTTAAAAACTACTTACTATTGTAACAATTGAGTTGTACCAAGCCCTACAAAGGAATTTATATTGTATACAGTTTATTATGACCTAATTGAAGAGTTAAAATACAAATTTGTTAGTTTCCTTAATTGCATGCAAATTTTAAAATGCGACTTCATCTTTACACCAAACTCGTAATTTTTTTATTATTTTAAACCGACTTCAAAAAAAGAGGAGGTTATCTATTCGTCGGAATATTTTTTTTATGTACATACATATGTTAACGCATAACCGATTTCGATAATTCTTTTTTAAAGGAAAGGTGATACCTCAGAGGTGGTCCCATCCTAATTTGGTTTAGATCCGATTATTGGACCATGATGAAATTAACGGTAATTAATTGAAGTCGGTGTTGTTTTTTGTTAAAAAATTACTTGTTTATTTAAACAATAGTCTTCGAGTGTCTTCTGCTAATCGATAAATTGTTTTAGTGATGATTTAATTTTTTTCTACAAAACCTCCGTGAACGCTAAGCATACCTAAATCTAAATTCATTGCGCCCCCCTTAGCCCGTACCTGCGTTAGCCCATGATTAAGAGTGTTCGCAATGCAAAGAACTTGCGCAAGCTAGTATAAGCGAACACTCTTAATGTATATTTAAGTTGCGTCCGCCAATCCATTCGCTTCGCCAAACCGTTCGCTTTGTCAAATTCATTCGCTTCGAAAGTGATAATACCACCCTTATAGGGTAGACCAACGGACTCGATGATTTGCATGAACAGCCTCTTTAAAATGCGAATAAGCAGCCGAACAAATGCACGAAATTTTTGGGAATCATCTTGGATTCGGGGAATTTCGATTACAACACTGGTAAAAACGGCCAGATTCTATCTTTTGTACAAGTAAGCAAACAATGCGGTCGAATTTCGCGTCCGCGGTAGCCGAGCGGTGAGAGTTGCAGGCTACAAGCCTGTAGCTGTCAGGTTCGATCCTCGGTTGGAGCGATTGCGAAATTTTTTTTGGTTTTATTATTTATTTTATTTGCTTTATTTTATATCACATTTATTTGACTATTAAATAATTTAAAGTTTTAGAGTTTTTTTTTATTAAAAAGTCAAGAACGTANGGTTGGAGCGATTGCGAAATTTTTTTTGGTTTTATTATTTATTTTATTTGATTTATACATTTAACTTTACTTTATTTTATTTTCATCTGTCTGCTTTATTTTATATCACATTTATTTGACTATTAAATAATTTAAAGTTTTAGAGTTTTTTTTTGTTAAAAAGTCAAGAACGTAAAAAAAATATAAAACATAAAAAAAATAATCAAAACAAAATAAATGAAAATTCTACTGGCTGTGAGACTCGAACCCGCGACCTTTCGGCTCGTTTATCCGCATTACGTCTGTAATGGTAAAATTATTATGCGCGTATGTGTGCCAGATTATATGCATAAGCTTTGCCGTCTGTCACAGCCCTTAATTTCGCGTTGTAAATGTGATTGCATAGTATAAAGTTTTTTTGCAGTGTCCTTTGCTGTTTTCTTTGATTTACCTAATATCGCGGCGTTAGCTCGCAGACTCCAGAGTAATGTACTTGTAGCTCTTCATTGGAAAATTTTTTTGTGTTCTCATTATCAATTTACATTTTCTCATTATCAATTTATATATTCTCATTATGAACTTACATTCTCNTCTGTCACAGCCCTTAATTTCGCGTTGTAAATGTGATTGCATAGTATAAATTTTTTTTGCAGTGTCCTTTGCTGTTTTCTTTGATTTACCTAATATCGCGGCGTTAGCTCGCAGACTCCATTCATTGGAAAATTTTTTTGTGTTCTCATTATCAATTTACATTTTCTCATTATCAATTTATATATTCTCATTATGAACTTACATTCTTCATTATCAATTTCTATATTCTGAATATGAATTTATGTTTCCCATTATCAATTTGTATTTTCTCATTATGAATTTATATTTCTTATTATCAATTTAAATATTCTCCATATAAATTTACATTTCTCATTATCAATTTGTGATTTCTCAATATAAATTTATATTTTCTCATTATAAACTTGAAAGGAGGTAGTAATTTTCATTCATCTGTTTAACACATTCTATGGACTTTATGCTTTCGATTGGTATATATGTACTTTGTTCATTAAATAAATGAGTGCAATACTAAAAATAAAATAATTTTTGAATAACTAACTAAAAATATCCTGGCCAGGTAAAGCAATGAAAATAATGCTGGTTTGTGAAGAATTTTTTGCAGAATTTTCTTTATTTTTCGTAGGTAAAAAATTTTTTTACGAGCCCGTGTCAACCACTTCATATAATTTTCTTTGAAAACTCATAAAAAAAAATCGTTACAGAAATGAGATACTCCTAAAGATTTCGTTAAGTTTTCGCGAAATTTGGTTTGCAGGGTAGGGAACACTGCATTAAAATAGCACGAATTAGAGTCGCTGTAACCAATTTCAGTGCCAGACACTTTTTAGTGGCGGAAGATCACCAGAATGTGCTCTAACTTTTGAACACATACTCAAGGATTGCGCGATCTCAGGAAATCACGGTAACCTTGAACCAACACTCGACTACGGTAGTGAAAACACCATATAATTTATTAACGAAGCCCTAAAAACACAATCTCCTATTCGAAGAATAACTTTAATTAAAGCAGCACAACTCGGGAGTAACATGGCCTCGTAGCCCATCAACCAAGAAGAAGAAAATAAATTTTGCTAAATAAAATTGAACTTAATTTTTCTTCATAGAAATACTATATTTTAATACAATTAATTTTACATTTACTGTTTTTTCAGCATTGGACATTTATGTTTGGCTGGCTATATATTCTCACTTTAAAAATATTCGAAACAATCGCGAACAACAGGAACGTCTCATTCCCCCTGCTGGAGGTGTTTATCCATCGTACACTAATATGTAATGCATTAAAAATATATACATACAAATATTCATGCCTTGTTGCCATCAATTGACTATAATTAACTACCATAAATATTTTTAGATTTTGAATTTAAAGAACTGCTAACACACACGTACTCTAAAAGCGCGAATATTACGCGACCATATACACATTCAAGTATATATNGACTATAATTAACTACCATAAATATTTTTAGATTTTGAATTTAAAGAACTACTAACACACACGTACTCTAAAAGCGCGAATATTACGCGATCATATACACATACAAGTATATATACATACATATATGTATTTAACCAATTTCCATGTATTAATGTGGATAAATTCGATGATTAAAGATCAACATTTTCACTATTTAAACCAAGCAACAGAAAAAATGTGTTTCTTTTCTATTGATTGCAAGTTGCAACTCAATAAATGAGATATACAGACAAGTTCTGGAATTTCCTTCCGAGTGAATTTCAACCAAAGCCACTTTGAATTCAAATTGAATGGGGTTGAAATTCACTCTGAAGTGCTTCTATCAGTATTAAATACATAAATGTAGTAGGGGGCAAAAACAACTTTCATTTAAAGCCCCCGAAAACCACAGACTATCGGGCGCCAACTATTTAGTTGTTGTTGTAGCGGCTTACTTAGCCCTGCCTAGATCGCCTTGTCCATCAATCAGAGGGAGGGGACGTTGGTTGAGTTGGGTTTAGAGCGGTGATGGGCACCGCCTTGCCCGCGGGCAAAGCTCTTTTAAGCTCTCTATAGATTTTGTTTAGGCGCGTGCAGAGTAAAAGCTCTCTCTCTGCACATCGCTTGTTTAGAGGAAATGCAACTAACACGCTGTATTTATTCTGCTAAAGAAAGAATTCAGCCTGCTGCAGTAGCCAGAGCGAAGTTGGGCTGTAGTGGTACGAGTCTCCCTAGGCAGACGAAGCTCTGTTTTGTCTACGTCCGGTGGTTGTGTTCCCAAAATGGTATTCACAGGACGGCAGTCGATGTACATAAGTCGAGACCGACTCCCTGTGTATGCCGTTTGTGGCCTGTCGGTATGCCGTCGGCTCCAGAGGTTGTTTTATGGAAGTTAGGATCAGTTTTTATAGATGCCTTCTGACTTGTATAGACGAGGGCTCCGCTGCAAGCAAGTGCACCAGGAGCATTCTGCCTCGTCATCAAGGCGGCGCTGTGGCGGCATCGGAACGAACCCGGTTGCGGTCCGGAGAGACGTATTCTGGCATGTCTGTAGCTTCGTTCATCCTGCTAGTCCCCGGCGAGTACACGGGTGCTGCTTAGTTTAGAACCGGTCGGCCAATTGCCTTGTATGTGGTCAACATCGTTTCTTTGTCTTTTCCCCCAGGTTGTTACAACAGCATACTGATTCCCAAAAGAGTTTTAAAGAGATATAAATCTGGGTCGTTCTTTGCCCCAAGTGTTGCCGGCAAGCAACTTGAGGACTTTGTACTCTATTGACAATTGCGGTTGTAAGCACCGAGAAGGAGGGCAGGGGCTGGATTCTGTAACTGTGAGAAAATGTAGTATAAACCGAGTGCAAAACTCACAACCAAAAACTCACCGAATATAATTCAGTGAGTTTTTCGGAAGAGAAGTGTACTCAATTTTGATAGCTAAAGCTCATTCTCACACTTCCTGAATCGCGAAAATGAAGAGTGTACACAATTTTCAGTGTACACTTAAAAACTAAGTTACAGAATCCAGCCCCAGACTATCGAAGCTACCTCCGAGAATTTTAGGGTTATTCACCGTCGGGACTGGTTCGCCATCGACGTGAATTTCTAGCTAAACACCATCATCTCGGACGCAAGTCGTTTTTCGATAGTCGAATCGTATCGAATTTTTCACGTCATTGCCTAAAACTTCCACTCGACTAGTGTATTAAAACGGAAAAACTTGGCAGCACTGTATAGTTTTCGACGATTTTCGTCGCTTACTTATTTCAGCACGACAGTAGATAATGCCAATGTTGTTGTGCAATGTTGTAGTCTGTCCTCCTTTGTCAAGGTGGTAAAAAGGGTTGCCGAGGATTTCGTAGGGAAGAAGGTTAGGCTCATTGTAGTGAAGAAGCGAGAAAGTTCGAAGAGGTAACTGTTTACTATCTAGCACAAATAATCAATTCCATTCCCGGACGCCATTATCGAGCAGTCGCCAGCATAAGAGCCAATTGAGACTTATTATGGAGGTTGAGGGAGCTTTGATATGTAATAATTAAACAGCAGCGGGGACAGGACACTATCCTGTGGAAACCCCAGTTAAATTTTTCTCGGTTTGCTGGCTATGTCTAAAAATTACTGACGAATGTCGACCAATCAGATAATTCGCTGAATACCGTTTTAATCCCTGTGCGAGGGGACGAAGCCTCAGTGTCTTCTAGTAGCGTAGAGTGGCTGACGGTATCAAACCCCTTTGACAGGTGATATGACTGTTCTCTCACAGCAGCGGTTTCTGTTCAGGCCACGAGTTATCTGAGTGTTTATGACGTTAGGTGCTTTTGTTATGCTGTACACTTTACGCTAATACCTCGCTGAGGTCAGGTAGTTTGTACAGTATACTTCGTATATTTTTCAATTTCAATTTATTCAAATAAATAATCTAGAAATATTCAGTATTTCTTACAGATTATGTACTTAGAACCAGAGCAGGGTCGTAATGATTCCTTTAGGAATTAAATTACTCCCAATTACAGATTACAAGGAATTAATAATTTGAAAATAAATGCGCTCAAGAAGGAAAGGAGAGTCAGTCACCCCACTTACTATGTCAAACACAAAGGAGAGCGAAAGGATAACCCTCTACTATGCAAAGATTTTAAATTAATTAGGAAGCACCTAGCACTATAAGAAGGCATCGGATTATCGAACTTCAAAGACCTAAGAGCAAAACGAACAAAATTCTTTTGAACGCGTTCAAGCCTCTTGATATGGCAATCGTGATACGGTCTCCATATAAAGACTGCATATTCCAGCTTAGACCGATCGAGCGCAGTGTATAGTAATTTTAAGGTATAGGGATCAGTAAAGTCTGACCCAAACCGTCGAATGAAGGCTAGTATAGAATAAGATTTGGCAATAATGTAATTTAAATGGCTGTGAAACAAAAATTTAGCGTCAAAAATAACTCCCAAGGTCTGCAATTTCGCCAAGAGTAGTTAGGCGTGCGTTACCAATAAAATAAGAGGTAGATATTAATGACCGCGATTTGGAGAAAGATACGTGAAAGATTTATTAATATTTAAATGAAGACGATTCTTGCTACAGCATGCAGCCACGTTATTGAGATTAGACTGTAGCTTGATTGCATCAGAATAACTCGATATAGTGGTAAAAATTTTCAAGTCGTCAGCATATAAAAGAAACTTAGATGAGGAGAAACATTCAGAGATATCGTTAATAAAAAGAACAAAGAGCAAGGGTCCTAAGATACTACCCTGGGGCACACCGGACGAAGCAATAATAGAACGAGAACAGGTGTTGTCAACAACAACAACAACACATTTACGGAGAGATAGGTATGATTTTACCCACTTTAAAAAAACGGAATGAAGCCCCAAGTTTTGCAGCTTGGAAACTAAAATTGAGTGACTGACTTTGTCGAATGCCTTCGAGAAGTCAGTATACACAGTATCGACCTGAAGGCGATTGTTAAAGGCGGACATACAAAATTCTAAAAAAACAGCGAGATTAGTAACTGTTGATCTGCCAGCCATAAAACCATGCTGCCCGCAGGAGATTAAACGCTTTACTGCAAAATATAGTTTCTCCTTGATAATATATTCAAATAATTTTGAAACAGTAGAGAGTTTGGAGATAGGCCTATAATTGGCAACATCATTCTTATTACCACTTTTGTATATTGGGGTAATGGAAGTCACTTTCCAAACGTCTATAAACTCACCACAAGCGAGAGATTTATTAAAAATTAATAAGAGCGGATACGCAAAAGCAGAGCGATTCTTAAAAAGAAAAGAGGAGAAACCGTCTACATCCATTTGCGGCGAATTTTTGATATGCAGGATGCCGTCGAACACATCGTCCAGAGTCAAAGAGAGGGAACCAAAATTGATAGAGAAACCAGCTTTTGCTTCAAAATCACCAGCTGATTGCGAGATAGGTTCAAAATTAGAGCGGAAAAAGTCCGCGAAGAGATCCGCCTCTTGGGTGCAGGAAGCATTAGTCTCATTGTAAAACATTTCAGATGCGAGACTTGAAATAGACTTTTTCGATTTAACATAACGCCAGAATGCTTTGGGGTTTGATTGGATATCGTGCTCAACATTACGGACATAATTGCGTTGAAGGGTATTATTCAACGATTTAAACTTTTTTGAATATTGCATGTATTTTCCTTTATTAGCAAGGGTATTAGACAATCTGTATTAAAAAAAAAAATGTATTCCTCAAATTCTTTAGCTTCTTTAGTTTTCTGGTATACCAAGGAATTTTATAGCATTTGTTACGTATAACTGGTATATGCTTACAGAAAGTATCATTAGCTTTCAACTTAAAAATATCGACCTTTTGACCACATCATTATTAGCAAATTTGAATCCCAGTCTAGTGAAAGAATTTCATTGTTAACAATGTTAAAGTTGCAGCGTTTAAAGCAATAACTAGGTCTTTGACTAGACTTTTAAAATTATAAAATTCTAGTTTAATAACTAAGAGGTACGTGATGAATACCAGAACCAGACAATGGATCAAGACATTCATTTACAGCAAAATTCAAATTATCATTAACGAAAATAAGATCTAGAATTTTAAAGAGTTGATTTCTAAAACTATTTATTTGAATTAGGTTTAAACTTAGAAAATTATCTACCAAGTAAGATTCAAAGAAGCTATTAACATCTTTGGGGATTAAGGCATGGCTGTTGTCCATATACGACCAATCAAAACAGCCCAGGTTGAAATCGCCGAGAATACAAATGTTACAGTCCGGATGGTTGGAGACAACTGCTGATATATTATTAACATGCTCCTTATATAATGAGTCAACACTATTCGGCGGGATATATGACGCGCAAATTAAGATTTTGGATTTACCATGTACAAGGACGCATAATTGGTCCAGAAGTGAATCCATATTAGCCATGCGCGTGAGGGATGAACGAAAGCGACGCTGAACAGCGATTAGTACACCATCTCCTCTAGAAAAACCAGTTTTCATTGCATCACGATCCTTTCGGTTAAAGGTACGACCGCACTAAGCGACGCGGGACTGCAGCGGCACTACGCGACACGGCGCGACCCTTTTTGGTATACAACTTTGCCGCGCAGCGTCGCGGGAAATTTTGCCCCTTATTCTAATTACCTTAAACGTAGAAAAATGAAAAATCGTTTCAAAAAGACTTTCGAAGTTGTATTTCTTCCAATTG